CCAGAAGAAAAACTGTGGAATACCTTTGTAATACAGTGTCTAATATTTTCCCAGGCAATCCCAAATTTCTGAAATAATTATTCCTGATGATACGGGGGGAAAAAACCAAATTTCAGTTGTACTTATATTTATTTATATATGTATGTGTTTAAAGTGTTCAAAATTAATATTTTTAAAAATCAAATACTAATTTGTCACAGGCTGAATTTTTAAAATAAAGGTAAATGTAAAGGTTCCCCTTGCACATATGTGCTAGTTGTTCCTGACTCTAGGGGGGCGGTGCTCATCTCCGTTTAAAAGCCAAAGAGCCAGCACTGTCCAAAGACGTCTATGTGGTTATGTGGCTGACATGACTAAATGCCAAAGGTGCACAGAACGCTGTTACCTTCCCACAACAGGTGGCTCCTATTTTTCTACTTGCATTTTTACATGCTTTCAAACTGCTAGGTTGGCAGAAACTGGTCAGGTAATGGGAGCTCACTTGACGCTAGGGATTCGAACCGCCAAACTGATGACGTTTCTGGTTGACAAGCTGAGCGTCTGAGTCACCACATCTATTTTTACAGAGTTGTTTAAATTGGTTGGCTATTTTTCTTAGTGCTTAATTGTAGATTTGCATCATGGTTTGTTTTTTTCCAACTGATCTGTCCATTCAGAGGCAATAATGATAATTACCTGTATTTTTAGCGCAAGGTCTCAGGTCAAGTCATTTAACATAATACTCAGTTAGAAGATGGCTGCTTTGCTGGTCACTTGCAAGAGAAATCTCTTAAGAAGCATATTGCTATTATCGAACCAGAATTGTATTCCTATTTAAATCTAGTAAAGCTCAGAATCATCCCACCATTATTTCCATATTTCTTAATCACAGCCCTTGTTGCTTCCCATTTTGGCCTGGGCATCATAAGATCTGAGCAATGTCAAAAATAAATACATTCTGTACAGACTTCCATGATAGCAATAAGAGGAGGCTGTCCTGCGAAGGACAATATTTTCTTGCATCAGCCCAGCTGCTTGAATTCAATAAACTCAAAATCAGAATAGCTTGTTTGGGTAATAGCGCAAATGTTATCTTGCTTCTTTATTATTTCCCAACAGAAAAGAAGCTGGATCACTGAGGATGATTTTTACCTTCCTTCCCCTCCCGAGGAAACAGAAAAAAGCCTCTCCAGTTCTCCCAGCACCTCACTAGAGAGGCTTACCAGTTGCCAACCTGCCATGCCATTGAGAGTCCCAGATCCAGGCGAGCTCTCTGTCTCCTCAGCAGAGCTCAGCAAATCCAAACTGTCTCCTAGCAGGGAGCTGAAGGGCTTTAGTGTTATTCATCGGAGACAAATAGGTAACGTGTTTTGACTAAGGGAGAAAGGATGAAGTGGAATGGGAGGAGAGATTTCTATGGTGGTTAGAAGAATTTATAGTAATGGAAGCATCATCCATTTTTGCTGCTTTACAGAAATGTCATTTGTGCTAGAGAATGCATAAAGCTATTCCTCTCCTCATTTCTAGGTCTTTCCAATCCATTTCGGGGTCTGCTGAAGTTGGGGACCCTGGAACGTCGAGGAGCTATGGGCATCTGGAAAGAGGTTTTCTGTGAGCTCTCACCTCTAGAGTTGCGGCTATTTGTAGACTGTGAGAAGCGAGCATGTGTAGAAAACTGTTCTCTGCTGAGATGTGAGTCCTTAGGACGGGCTCACAGTGATGGGCGCTTTGAGCTGGTCTTTTCCAACAAACGATTGTATCTTCGGGCTTCCTCTCGGGATGAAGCAGAGGACTGGTTGGACCGGCTGCACGAGGCCCTGAAAAAGTATAGGCTACAGCAGGATGAAGGGTGGGAAACTCTAGAGTGCCCTGAGGCTGCAGAGGATTCTGAGGATTTCTTTGGAGGTGGACCACCTGGTGACTTGCCTTCCTTCTCGGTGTATAGTAGAACTGGCCCAACTGAGTTGGACTGGTCATGTGCCTTGAAACCCGAGTTAGATGCAGTCAAGGAATCAGTCCTGTACTTGGAAGTTGAAAAAACATGGGTCCCTTTGGTATTCTCCTTGTCCTTAGAAGCCTTGAAATGCTTCAAAGCCAGAAATGATAAAAAGATACTGTACAACAGCTTTGGAATTGAGACCATCCAGGATATCCTGCCAGATGTGAGCCTGGGTGGACCTGCATTCTTCAAGATCATCACTTCAAAAGCAGTGCTGAAGCTGAGAGCTGAGAACGCAGAGGAGGCAACTGATTGGCGAGACCTGGTCCGCCGAGTGCTCATGTCCTACCTGGAAATGGCTGAGGAGGCCCTCACACTTGGAGGCAATCTGGATGGCAATTCACAGGCAATCCTGAAGAATACTGTTAAGGAAAATGGATACTTGCTGCAGTATCTGGTTGCCATCCCCATGGAGAAAGGCCTGGACTGCCAAAGTTTCATATGTGCAGGTAGGGGTGTATGGGTGCTTGCAAAATGATAACTTACATGAAGCCTTTTTTAGTAAGTTAAAATGTATTTTCTATTCCAATTAAACAACTTAAGATTGAGGATTATACTTCTGTGTGTGTTTAATGTGATTTTAGAATACAATATTGGTGGTCTTTGTTATTATAGCGTTAATACTAACATAACTCCAGATTAATCATGGGTAGTGGTAAGTCATTGAAACATGGAAGTCTTAAACAAGTCATTATTATATATGCCTTTGTTTCACTAGATCTCTTCATTCTTCTTATGACCAAATATTAATTTAACCAACAGAAATAATTAGAAATCCTTACGCTGCAATAACTGGGGTGGGGGGGAGCGAGGGGGGGTCCAGAAATGTCTGATTGTTTGGGTTTTTTGCGGGGCAACTGATTCATTTTGAATGCCAAAACTACACTTTGTTTTCAGGGCTATGTGCCAAAGAAGATGGTAAAGTTTGAAAAACTCTTAAAGGCGCATCCATAGATTATTGGAAGTGACTTTGTGTTTCCCTAATTAACATGAACTCATCACTCAGTGACTCAATGAAAAGCTGGTCTATTTACAGTTCAGTGGCTATAAATCCATAGGAAGAAAGATGTGGGAAGGTCAGGCAATGTGTGACAGGCAGGTCTTATGAGCAAATGCAGTTTGTGAAGTCATATTTGGATATTGTTCTCTAGTTCATAATCTTCATCATCATCTCTAAGTAGACCGTAGATTAATCTACTTGGTGACAACTACCCTTTTCTCTGTTTGAATGAATGAATGAATAACACATTTGGCTTTTAGTTTTTCATTGCCTATGTTCAACTACTCTTGTATCTGTAATTATTTAACAAATATCCAGTTTTTGCAATTTGGATAACTGGAAAACGTCCAAGAATCCTTCAGTATAGCACTCAGTCTAGAGACAAGATAATGTCTATGAGCCTCTTGCAAGGAACTTCTATTAACCAGAAAATATTGGGATCCATTTTATTCCTAAGATAATTTTGTGAACAAGAAAAAAATTAAGGGTTACGCCTTTAGTAGTAAATCTGATAATACAACTAAATAATGGACAAGAGGCTACACTTTTATGAAAGATAAGGCTAAATATCCTCATTTCTGAAGCATATCTTTCTTTTCAGTCACAGAGGAAAGTACATTATTATATTTCTAGCCACTAAAATCAGAACAACAAATAGTTCTGTTCCAAAGATAGTTTTGGCCTTGGGTTTTCTTTCGACTAAAAATAAAAAAGTAACACAGGAAAAAGGAGGGTTCTTTCTTGATATGTATTGAGCAGTAGATAAAAATATATCGTTGTCTAATAAAGGCAGGAGGTCTGTGTGTGAGTGTGTTTATATACGTATTATACACCCAGGCACCTCATACTTCAGAAGCACAGATCTCGAGATTAAGGCTGAGCAATAGCTGAGCCTTGGTTCAGCTCTAATATCTTCCTCTTACTATAGGCAATGGCCTAGTCAGCAAATGAATTACTGAAAACTGACTTCTCTGGAGACAGCAGCTGCGGAATAGGCTGTCTTAAATAAAAGAAGCTTCTCCAATAGCCAAGAGTCAGATTCTGGCAATTTAAGATGATCTTACATTTTCTTTCCTTTCCAGGCTGCTCCAGGCAGATTGGTTTCTTCTTTATGAAGCCTAAGCTGTGTTCATTCACCGGCCTCTATTACTGTGACAATTGCCACCAAGATGAAGAGTCTGTGATACCTTCACGTCTAATTCATAACTGGGATCTTTCCAGATATCCGGTATGCCCTGTTATGGTGGGAGGGGGGTATATAAGCTCGGTAATGTGAAATAGTTTCTCATGTCTTTTTTAAATCCCACCTGCACAACTATAGTCACAAAATGATTGTAGTTTTCATTATGAAAGAGAAAAGCTTGAGAGCATCTGTAAGGATCTCCTTCCTTTGTGCCCTACCTGCATTGCAAGTTAGCGCAAATAAGTGCAGATTTTAAAAAGCAGACGAGCAAAATGTGACCTCCCTCCCTCCCTCCCTCTGAGTGTTTCTCAACCTCAGCAAGTGGATTCCCCAGTGCTGGCTGGGAAATTTTGGGAACCAAAGTGCACACATTTTAAACTTGTTAAGGTTGAGAAACGCTGATTTACCTCAAGGACCATAAAATGAGAAATCTATGAGTAAGGTAGTATTCTGATTAGGATTTTTCATTTTTTCAGCTGTTTGTTTTTTTTTTTTTTTTAATATCCTCTAATTATGGCCAAGCTTAGTAAATAGAAAAAGTATATTTTTCTCAAGGCACAATCTCAGTTGTCAGAACACAATCTCTTTTCATTTTCTACCCTTTTATTATTATAAACTGTCTGGAGTGAGATGAGCAGGAAATCAATTAATCAAACAAACAAACAAACAAACCATCAGTTCAAATGATAAGAAGGTCCTTACTAGAATGTGAACCAGTATATATACCAATTATATACCAATATAATCTCTGCTGGGCCTATTTGATCAGTGCTGCAAGAGGCTTTTACAGGAACATTCTCATCTTGTTGTCTCTGTCAGATTGGTTGCCAGGCTCTGAAATTCCTAGCCAAAAAGGGTTCAAAATCAACCCTTGATTGACCTGAAGCTGGTGAATGAAACCCTCTATGACCATGTAGAGCAAATGAAGCAGATCTATCAGAATCGTGAGCAGCTGAAGCTCCTGGGTGATTACCTTGTCCTTTGTCGCAGTGGCGCCCTGAAGGAGATCAGTAAGAGGTGAGCCAGAGGCATTAGAGGGCCTTCTCCAAATCAGTATATTAATCTGAATTGACTCCAGCCTTCCGACACAAGAATAAGTAAGCATTCTGCTTCCAAATGATGCTGGCTATTAAGTCAGAGGTTGTATGTGGATCTGGATTCCTACTGCCACTTGCAGATGCCTTTTGCATCCCTTCCATAGACCCAGCTTCCTCCATAGAAGTTCTTTTATGTGCACATTCCCAAGTTTATTGCCATCCTCGTGACATATGGTTACTCAGCAGGAGCAGTGGAATACTTCTGTTTCAGTGTTGGCTGTTTTGGAGTAGTCTTTAGCTATCTCTTTCTGTGTGAAAAGTAGTCTGGTCCTAAATTGATTCCAGAAGCATTGCAAGAGAAAAAAGCAGAAGAAGAGCAATATTGTTTCCATCTCTTCAAGTCAGGAGGATAGGGGCTTGTATTGGATGACACAGAAAACGTCTGGGGATGTTGTTGGGTCTGGTTTGCTAAATCCAAACCGGTGTAATTTGATATGTATACAGTGTGCATTCTCATTGTAGAAAAAATGTTGCTAGAAAATTAAAAGAAAAAATCCCAATGTATCAGTATCCAATTTGGCCCTGAGTACCATCGGGGTGATTCTGGTGATCTCTGAAAAATGGATAGAGCAATGGTATATTTCTGAGATCAAGAAATATAGGCCAGGTAAAAAGTATCTTGTGATACAATAGCTTGATGCAAGTAAGGGTTGGGAAGAATGGCACACATTGAAAGAAGAATGAACAAAGAAGCCTAAGAGATCAGCTGGTGTGCAGAAATGGAGCACGAGAAATGAAGCAAGAGTTCTTGTTGTCTCATCAGGGTTTTATTTTATGTTGTATAAAACGCTTGGGATGAAGTGGAGAACAAATTTTAATATACTAATGATGTTGTTCTTTGAAGGCTTGACCACCGGCACTATCTCCTGGAGTGTCCCCATAAATACAGTGTGGCTGACCTGAGACAGGTAGGAGATCTGGAAAAAAGGAAATGTTTCAATCTAGAAGCAGGTGGAAATTCAGTTCAAGAAAATAATACCCATTTCTTCACCCCCTAAGCTGGATCCCTCAAAATCACAGCCTAGCAACCTTCCATACAAATTATTTGATGCACCATGAGATGTTGCATCACTCAGTGCAGAGCAGGAAGCAAGAAGCTTTTGAGAGCTGGTCTGTGCGTGTACAGATGCAATCTTTTCCTGTCGTAACTTTGTCCTATCTGAAGAGTATAGCAAATAAAGACAGCTAAGCTCTCCAAGAATTATCTGGCCAATTCGCTTCTGCTCACTAATTGTTTTTCCTAGTCCTGTATATTGCAAAATGTTTGGTAGTTGCATTGGATCTGCATCAGTGGTGGGATTCAAACATTTTTTTACTACTGGTTCTGTGGGCGTGGCTTGGTGGGCATAGCGAGGCTTGGTGGGTGTGGCAGTGGAACGATACTGTAAAATCCCCATTTCCTCCCGATCAGTTGGGACTCAGGAGGCAGAGAATAGATGGGGGTGGGGCCAGTCAG